TGTTATTACTTAAAATTTCCATTTATTTGCGCCTTTTGTAACTTTTCACGAGTTTTTTGTTAATAATAGTACAATTTTCAATAAACACGCTTGCTTGTATAAAGAAAGGTTCAAACAATGATTATTAATTTATTATGTTGACAAAGTGAATATCTCAAATAAGCATAAACGAAAAATCAATGGCATTTTCAGATAAAAACTAAAACTAAAAAAGGTTATACATTTAAGATCTAGTGACAATGCTTTTTCTCATTTCAATTTGAATGAAACTGCTTTCCATCCAATTTGGTAAGAGAGAATGACAAAATATTGCGTTAATGGAATGCGTTTCTTAATGAAATCAAAAAGGATTGTGCTACTTTTATATTTAATCTTCCTGAATTGCATACAGCAAATCAATAATGTTCCCTTGTATAGAATAGAAAGATAATAGTAGGTAAGTAATTGTTACACACCAAATTTACATATTTACGCCTTTAATTTCTACCTATTCGTATTCAATAATATATATAATACAACATGCTGAATATGCCTGTATATAAGCTCAAATTTAATATAAAACATCTACATCCGATCTAAAGTAACTCAAACATCATTAAGCAGGAGCATTTTTCTCACCTTTTAAGAAATTGTTTAAAGGTTGCTTATGATTTTGTATGCCACGATACAAATCACAAATGTTGGCAAATCCAAAGTATACAGTGGTACCGACGACGACAACAAATATAAGTATTAATAAGAGAGCTCCTAATAGCCCGACCGCCATCATAGATAAGATGGTTAACAAAGTGCCTAAATAGAAAAACGAACATGAGAAATCAATGACGAACATATTACCAGTCTTACCTTCCAATACTAAAAAACCTACTAGAGTCATTGTTAGGGTAGATAGGCCGAATAATATCAATAGTACAAAAGGTAAAAACGTGACGAAACCAGCTGCTAAAAAGCACAGAGAAATTTTCGGATGGCGAACACACCACTGTGCTGCGCTGTCAACTAATTCATAACTTCCTGAATCGTTCATTATAATGTGGATCCTTCGGTTAGTTTGCAGCCCTAGAGCAATCGATTACACAATTTAACATAAAATTTTTCATACATACTTATATGAATGCGCGTATATGATGACTTACATAAATTTCGAAGTGCCTCTATTAAGATTTTGAGAAGTACCTCTGGTTTGTCACCAAATTTAAAGACACTGTGTGATCTTTGCGAGGTTTGTCCAAATTGCTCCTGTTTTCGTTTGGTTCTTGATCTGCTGGGTCGTCGTAATTGATTACCTCCTGTGAAAAAATTTTCTCCTGAACTGCTATCCATACCTTCTTTTAGAATCTATAAATTTTAGTTCAAATCAAACAGAAAATTTTGATTTTGTGCATTGTTCATTCCATTATCAATGCAAATATTATTTAATTATTTTAACAACAAACATTGCAATAAGGCAAAATCTTTACCTACTTTTCTGTAGCGTCTTATAAGCAAAGCTGAGTGTAATCACATATCTGAAAATTAGTTTACGTTTCTGTTTTTCAGCTAATTTGGGATATCATATGGGATAGCCTTCAGCATTGTTTGATGACTATCGGTTTTTGATATCACTTAAGCATTGCAGCTGTTAAATATATTCTCCTCCACTTTGCAATTTATTCGAAGGAAAAAAGCCCACGTTTTGCGTTAACTGCTTAGAGTTGCACTTATAAGAGAAAGTCGCTGTAAATTGAGAAAAAAAGAATTCCAAACAAAATTTTTCACATACAACTGCACCAAAACAAAAAATTAAAAAAAAAATTAGTCAACAAACAAAACCAAAACAAAGCAGAAAAAATTTTGAATTAGTCAATACAACAAAAACTATTTTTAAAAGATTTTTTTTGGTTGATTTCATTTAATCTCAGCTGTCAAAAAATGTTTGCATTTATGAAAGGTAAGTAATATGTTTTCAAACGTTAACAAATAATCTTTTCTCATTAGTGAATATATAAAAGTCGGACAAAATGGCTCTACACATCATTTTGTAACATTTGATAGTGGATCTATTCGACAGAGAAGTAACATGCGACGGAAAAGGACTATGCGGGATGCTTCCGATCCCTTTACGCTACTTGAAGATGTGTAAAGCAAATATATTGAAGACATAAATATGTATTAACTATATAAATAGCATACATACAAAAACAAGAAAATATAAATTTCACAGTTTGTGAACATAACTGAACATGCTTACATTACATAATATTATTTGCCTTTATTAAATAAGGACCAGGACACTTATATCCTTTAACGAGATATGTTTATTAAAGCGCGCGTCGATTCTTACGTCAGGAAACACCAATTTTCTTCTCAGCAAATTTGCGAATTTGTTGTGGCTCGCGGTGCATACACCCGTTCAGCTAGAAGCTGGAATGACTTCATCAATGGTTTGTTTGTTTATTAAATGATCGAAGAAAAAAATCAGCTGTTATTTTGTTGATTTTGACAGCCACAAATAAAAAAAATTTACAAATGATAGCAACAAAAATAACATGAACGTTTTACGCGGTCGTAACAAAAGCGTTTATCAACTATCGGTTTAGTTGTAAAAAAAGGAAAAAGTGATTATCCTACAGTTTTGATTTGTTTTTCGGAAAAATTTGTCTGTTTTCCACAATAATTTTTCTTTGCCAAGCATTAGCAGTTCATTTTAAAAAAATTGTTAAAACAAGAATTTCAACAATTATAAAAAATTTAGTTATATTAACCCTTTAGGGTTTTTATTAAAATCTTGTGCGTTATCATAAGAGAAAGCTATTTTTATCAAATTTTTAAAGTTGGCAGTGCCTCTTTGAACGTAGCAATATGCATACAGCCAAACTAATTCATTGTACTTATCGAAGAATTCAACAAGCAGGAAAAATACAGTAAACGTTTAATTATTTACTTTGCAAGTTAATTAAACCTTAATCGGAAAATAGACAAGTGTTTATTGTAGTATAATGAAATTTTAGACACCAATGCTTGTTCATTGTGTTTTATAGAAAGTTCAATTCGTTGTTTCTTAATAACATTTTTTTTTAATATCTGATTATATCCGCCGTACGCACAATTATACAGCAGAAATGGCCACCCAAGACGTAAGATCTACAATTTTATACGTATACTTTACATATTTATATATACGTATGATTATTTTTTATATTTAATACGTGTGCGAAGGAATTTAGCAAAACCGCTGAAGACATTAAACATTTGAACTCCACACCGGCTGATAATGATTTACTGGAATTATACGGTTTGTATAAACAGGCCACGGTTGGAGATTGCAATACGGGTATGTAGGAATTTATTTTTTGATTAAACAACGTAACATACATATATACATAGATCTATATATATGTATGCTACATATATACATTTAAAATATTTAATCTTTGAAAAGATCAGCATCTGTATTAAAACTGTGATTAAATAAATGTTTAACTTTTTTAAGTTTATTTTAACTTATGTAAAAACTATTTGCCTTAGGGCGGGTTGTGGACATCCATCAGCTGAAATAAATAAGCCACAAATTTAAGATTATTGAAAATGATTTCCCTTGAGGTGTGAACACAATAAATTTTTATCTGTTAAATTAAACGACATCATGTAGGCAGGGAGCAGACCATATAAATGCCAACAATACATTAGCAATTTTGAGGTCATAATTTAGAAAAAAGGGAAGGATTATTAATAATCTGCTAATCTTGAGTCCACGGATTTATTTCGCTAATTTTTAATGTAGTTTTCCTGGACGAACACTAGCAATAGTAATTACAATTTAATCAGAGGAACTATTGGCAATAGAACTTACAATGCACTTTCTTATGCGGTATGAGTGTTCGATAAATCTAATATCCTACCAGATGTATAAAAAGAAAACGAAAAATGTTATTTACACTATTGTTTATTTTACATTTTTAATTTCATTACTTATAATAATTTTTCATTGCTTCTCTTATTTGTTTTTATCATTTGTAATTTGATTAGATAAACCGGGCTTCTTAGACTTTAAAGGCAAAGCCAAATGGGAAGCCTGGAACAAGCTAAAGGGTAAATCAACTGCCGAAGCTATGGTCGATTATATAGGAAAAGCTAAATCTCTGATTGAAGTACACGGTCTAAAGGCGTAAATGTTTATAAAATTACCCGCAACTAGCAAGGAAAACAAACCAATTTATAACATTTTACAAATCGAAATGCATAAATTTTTATAAATATTTCAAAGCTTAGCACAATTTTCACTTTAAAATATTTATATTAAAATAAACGGATGTATTTTGCACTTCTATCATACAAGCTTTATTACTTTCAAATATAATTAGTAATGTAAACATTGAAATATATATAAATCAATAATTTGTATACTTAAACCTATACATAAGCGCCTGAGCACAAAAACGAAAATTAATAATTTAAAAATATGTTAAACAGCTTTTAATGGTCATCCATACGAGATTTATTATTTTCAGTTTCATTACTTTGTCTCAAAGGTTTTTGACGTTCATAGAATTCTTTTTGTAATTCTCTTAAATTCGTCTCCAAGGTTTCAACTACGTCGAAATTCATATCCTGTCTTGCCTGTTTAATATAACCTTTTATAATATTGATTTGCTCTACTAAAGGATCATTGTTTTGGGTTCTACCAGCGGTGCTGACTGGACGAGCACTCCAGTTATCCAAAGAACGTAAATCGCACTTTACAGTTAAAAATAAAAACGTCATAAAATTTCTGATAAATTTTCATCAACTTACCCCCTGCACATATTCGGTATTCTTTTGCGTGTTTGTTGAAACTGCCAGCCCATAACGTTCATATGCTTCCATAGCCATTTTACGTTCAGAAGCTATGCGTTGCTCGGTCTCAATACGTTTACGATCTTGTATTTTACGTATTTCGTCTTCTTGCGGCAAAGGTGGCAACGATAACATTTTCTCTTTTATCAATTGTATGCAAGATAACCTAATTGATTTCTTTAAACTTTCCTCCCTAGAGCCTTGTTCGCAAGGTAAGCTCAATATACGTTTGCTATGTACATCAATGGCTTCGGCTATTTGTCCAATTTTGCCACGTAATGCACTAGCATCACTCAAAGTGAGAATCGATTCACCTTCATACAAACTACCTATAATTTTTAAATACATATCAATATCGGGCGTAACATTTTTACGTAGCTGCTGAATTTCCAAGTAAATCTGGGTAATAAGTGGACGGCACGTATGACTTTCATGCATTTCTTGCCGTGTGTCCAACAACCAAAAACAATGAGAACATGAACGAATACCATTTCGTTGAAGATCGCTAGTAGTGCTCCCACTCGAAATTATTGGTTGTTTAGATGAATCACTATAGGCCGTAGTCAAGCTAGCGAGTTCCACTGTGTGGAATAAATACATTACATAAAATTATCCGTTAAGATCTTAGAATGTTTGATTTCAAAAATATTGCGTTAAATATTAAATATAGCCTCGAATAATAGTAAATGTCGGTGCAAACAGATACGAACTGAATAAATGTGATAAGGGCGATCTGGTGTATGTATCGAAAGAGAGAAATCAAATTATTACTTGCAGAAGCCAGAGATAAAAATTTCGAACACTCCTGGCACATAATACTGCCGCATAGACGACAATGGTGTTGACGTCGGGCGATATGAAAACTCTTGGCACAATTTGGACACAATTTCACTGATCTACCATCTAACCAAGGAACAATCTGCAATTGAAATTTTTACAATCGAAACATGATGGAATTAATTAATATGGATCTTACATTTTGATCATGCTTTTTGCGTAATAGAGCATCTGTAGGCATATCCTTTACCAATTTATGTAAACGTATTACTAATTTATTTGTTTCACTGGCATAGCGTTCCAAACGAGGGTTTCTCACTGTTTGAAAATAATCTATGTGTGATCGCTCTACTCCTTCTTTCTGTTGATCCATAAAATTATAAATATTCAAACGTGTACGTACATTCGTAGTTGAGACTGTAGTTTCCTCAATACGACTTGTAAGAGCAATACTTTTATCGGAATTTCGACTGAAATCAAATTTTTCGTCGAGGTTTAGTTTAATTTTCTTTTTCGCTTTGCTGAAAATGTCTTTGAATATAGATTTTAAGACATCTTGCTCCTCAGCGTGTGTTTTTTCAAAATGCTCTGTTAAAAATTCCAACGATTTCAAATCTTCATGGCAGATTGGACAAAGAAAACCTTCTAAAATTTCACCGTTAACAATTTCGCAGTCAGGCTCACCAAAAGGATTTGACATTACGTATCGATCAATATGGTTTGTTATTATTTTTATTTTTATTTTTTTTTTTGGTGTTGAATTAAAATGGAATAATATTTAACACAAATCAATACTCTCTATTTTCTGCAATTAACAAAGATATAAATATTGCATTAAAACCAGCTGTGTTTTCTTATTTTGGAAAATGAACAAGTGTGTATCACACCAAATTTTTCGGTTTCCCGACAAAATCCCTAATCACCGCATTTGCTAATTGAGATGTAAACATTGGACACATTTCTATGCGCTGTAGCTGCGTTTCCTTAGGCTGCCATATTTTGTGAAAAGTCAAATATATGAAATTACACAAATATCATATGCTTTGAAAAGTAAAAATAGAGAAATCATTACATAAGCCAAGAGGCTGATATAATCAACTCCCGCCCCGTTTTTGGGTCGGGGAATAAGGTTAGCTATTGACAATGTAGAAAAATATATAAACCAACACAATGAAACTGAGCATCTCGAGAAATTGTTCAACTTTTTACGCATCTGAGTGGGTATACGAATAAGTAAAACGAAGAATTTAAATGAGAACTCTGAACAATTTATTTCAAATTTGAAATCTAGACACTAATGGTGTATCTTTTTGTGAAAGACGTACTTTGAGAAACATTTGATTGAGAGACCAAAGAGAGAGACCTTCGTCATTCGAAATTTCGGGAAACTAAAGGGCATTTTGCGGTTGTTAGTCATAATACGTCGGTAAAATCAAAAATTTGAGAAAAGATTCATAAAATAATTCGAATGACCCAAAAAATTGTGAAGAGTGTGAATTTATTGAATAAGAAATTGCAACATTGTTTTACTTATTTATTTATTTATTTTATTTACTTACACAAGAAACTCAATTAAAATAAATAAATAGCCGAATTTTATTGACAAGTATATTCGAAGAAGTAAAGAAAAAAAAATTAAATAGTAATTCATGTGTGTATAAATAAAAAGGAAAACAAGAAAAAACCATATACAGAGGCACATCTACCAGTACACAACCAACTGAACCCCTAAGCCATCGCAAACATGTAAAAGCTAGTGTAAATATAACATAGATAAATCGCGTGTATTAAGGAAAGTTGTTTTGATAGACCTTCAAACATCCGATGTTGATATTAAGTAATAGACATAATTTAGTTTTCTGCAAGTAACTCTAAACGGGTTAAACAGCTCATGATTATATTTACATTGACTAAGCTTAATGAAGATGAAGTGCCAAGAAAAGCGGACATTAAAGTTGAACTCATCAAGTAATTTGGACGAATCGATAGTACCATTAATTAACTTAATTAAGAAGGAGACACCAAGATTAAATCTATGTTTCTCAAGTGACGGCAAGGATAATAGAAGCAATCTATTTTCATAAGGACACAAAGAGAAAGGCGACTCCCAACTCAAACTCCTAAGGTCGAACAGCAAGAATTGCTTTTGAACTGACTCATGTATTGGTCCAACTAAGCACATGTACAGCATTTTTGCAATGTGAGGATACTTAATTTCTTTGGACTACCTCTTAACGAAACCCAGCGCGGACCTAGCTTTACTTGAACGGGAGAAGGGAGGCTTCTTGAATTTTTTTAGATTTAATTTCATAAAGTTTAACGAGCACAAGGTAATCAAATTATTTAAGTCAATTTGAAACTGATATGATTGCGATTTGAAGGAGAAGGAAGAAAACAGTTTCACATCGTCAGCGTGCATTAAAATCTGACTGGATTTAGTCACCGAGGGAAGATCATTAATCAATAATATTATAAAATTAATATAAATCAAATAAAAGGGGTCCTAAATGGCTGTTTTGAGGGACACAAGACGTTACGGAAAATTTATCCGAGACGATGAGGTTAAACAGAACTCTGAACGATCTGTTATGCAGATAAGAGCTAATCCATTTCGTTAAATAGAAAGGGGAGCCAAGGACGTGGAATTTGAAGATCAATAAATTATGGTTAACTAAGTGAAACGCTTTACTAAAATCAGTATATACGATATCCGCCCGAGAGAAACTAGAAAAAGCCTTGAAAACCTGGCAAGTAAATTCTAAGAGACTCGCAATAGTAGACTTTCCTTTCCGAAAGCCATGTTGACATGGACACCTTAAGCCATCTAAAACATCATTTTCTGAAATGATCAAGTTAGAAATTAAAACCGAGCTAGATATCGAATATGGATAGTTGACAGTTGATTCGGAATTAGCAGTTGAAAAAATTCGTCGGAAGTATTCAGCAAAGAGATTCGAAGCGTTAATGTCATCAGAGGGCTCAAAACCATTGAAAGAAACATGCGGGGAATATATGGAGATTTTTCTTTTGAAGTTGACAAACTTAGAAAAACATCGAGGATTAACAAGCAGTGAGGGTTTTATCAACTGGAGGTATCTGCAATAAGATTGGTGGTTGAGGTAATTAAATCTACGTGTTGATATGAAATAGGCAAAATAGCCGTGAGCGGAATCACTTTTGTAAATTTTTTGAAAAGTTTATTTTACCTGGTTTTGTAGTATTTAATTGTCTTGTTATATCATGGCGCGCAGCTGCTTCGAGGGCGAGATGGCTTGGCCGGAACGGATGCAGAAATAGCTTTGTTATGGAAAGAAAACAGTAAGATTTCAATATTTGCAGCAGAGGAATCAGGCATAATTTGTGAACAATGGGATTTGGGCCGTAGAATATTAGTTTTGTTAAACCGTTACTAGAGATATAGGCCTGTATGGGAAAGGCGTCTCTTTAAACCAAAAAAAGAAATTGTATATAACTCATATAATTTCATACTTTGATTTATTTGTTAGGAAAACTTTGAATTCTGAAATTGGAGTTTAGATTTTAATAAGTTTCATTTTCTTTTTATTTTGTGTAATTATAAATCCTGCCATTTTTCGCCAAGCATTGGAGATATGTGTAGGCTTTCAGTCTGTACATTGAGACTCAGAGTGGAATTGGACTGTAAGGAAAATAAAGCAAATATATTGTGCCCTCTGACAATTGCGGAACTGTGTGTTAATGGTAATGAACGATCTTTTTGGAATATCATCACTGGTGATCATCCGACAGAATGTAGAACATTCAGCGTCTCTATATGGAATGACTTCGATAAAAAGAATACGTAGCCATATTTAAGAGTCACATGTCTGCTGGCAATCAGGATGTTTATCTTTCTCTCCACTAAGTCTCTGTTGGCCCACCTTTTCTCATTTAAATATTTTTCACTCATCTTGCAATCCGAGAAAAAAAATTGTCGCTGGCTGTGTTGGCATAATTTATGACACTTACAGCGCCCTTGGTCGAGCAATAGCTGTCTAGGCCTGCTGGCAAACTGACGCCTTTCCGAATGATTGGAGGCTTATTGGACTAATTCTAATATTTAAGCCTGAGAAAAGCCACGACATTGGAAACTTTAGGCCGATCATTCCTATTTCACTTCTGTTGAAAATCACCAATTTTATGGCCAAAGAATGACTCGTCTTTTTCTTAATGTCCCACCTATTCTTTTGGATATCAAACGCAAAATATATAGAAATGAGCTATACTATTTGATAAACAGTGAAAGGAGCGCTAGGAGGGAAGTTGCTGTGTTATACATGCATATTAGTAAACCCTACGACCATGTCAATCTCAGCACGTTTGCAAGAACGTTAATGAATTTTCAAATCCCTTTTGATCTGCGATTGTGAATTCTTAATTTCTTCTCGAAACACTTTGTGGTCATGCGATGAGAATTGCTTGTGGTGCAGGATGGCCTACCGCAAGGCACTTGCCTAAACCTAATGCAATCTTTACACGATCAACCTACACCGGTTGCAAAGATGGCAAAACCCGTATGTTTCAATATGTTTATGGCTTTCCGATAGCGTCGGCAGGTGTGGCCTTCAATGATGCCGTCAAAAGTCTCTCCTTAAAAGCAAATCTCTTTTACAAAGAGGGTGTGAAATTTAACTTATATATGAATCCCAAACAGATCCACTTATACTAGAAACTCAACTAAAACAAAATGGCAGTCGAGTTCATTTGACTCTTAAAGTAAATCTTATATTAATTAATAATAAAACTTAGTATAAGTACAATAAAACAAATAAGAAGGAAAAAAAAAGAAAAAAGCATGTACACAACCAGCATAGAGCCACACTTACAACCGGTGCACGACCAAATTGCAAATGAACCCCTATGCCATCGCAAACATGCGTAAGCTTGGCAACCGATAATACTTAACAGCAATTCATTTTCGAATCATAACGACTTTTAAGGATAAAAGCTAGTTTAAGTATGACATAGGTAAATCGCACATATTAAGCAATGTTGCTTTAATGGACTTTAAAGAGTCCGATAACGAGAATAGGTGATAGATGTCATTTAGGTTCTTGCAAACTACTCTGAGCGGATTAAGCAGCTCATAATTATATTTACATTATATATTTACACTGACTAAGCTTAACCAAGATAAAGTGCCTAGAGAAGCGGTTAGGGACATTAAAGCTTATTTCACCAAGTAATGAAGGCGAGTCAATAGCACCATTTATTACTTTGATTACAAAGGAAACGCCAAGAACAAACCTACGTTTGTCAAGAGACGTTAAGGACAGCAGAAGCAACCTATTTTCATAGGGAGGAAGAGAAGCAATCAGATCCTAACCCAAATTTCTCAGGGCAAACAGCAAAAATTGCTCCTGAACAGATTCAATTGAATCTACATAGCACCTATATGAAGGAGACCACACCACAGAGGCATACTCAAGTATAGGTCTAACCAAACACATGTACAGTCTTTTCGTAACGTAGGAATCATCAAGCTCTTTGGACCACCTTTTTATAAAACCAAGCACGGACCTAGCTTTGCTTATCGAGAGCTCAATATGCAAGTAGAAACGTAACCTATGGTCAAATAGACCGCCTAAATCTGTGATCGAATCGACGTCCTCCAACTTATGCGAATCAATGAAATATTGAGTAATGAATGACTTCCGTCTTGAGAAAGAAAGCTTCTTAGAAATATTTAGATTTAGTTTCAGAAGATTCAAAGAGCACCACGAAACCAAATTATTCAAGTCACCTTGAAGCTGATGTGATTGCGATTCAACAGAGAAGGAAGAAAAAAGTTTCACATCATCAGCATACATTAAGATCTGGCTGCAATTAACCA